GCAAAATGAGTAAGTGAAGTGGATCCCAGACATGCGGTTCATTTCAACCAGAGCAGGCACCATTGTCGCAAACTGAACGGCTGGAAATGACAACTGCCAGGTGCGATCCTGTGGTAAAGTCACCAACACGGCTGCATCTTGATGAAAAAAATCATCGATTTATTTATCATTAACGTCATAGGTCCGTTTCAGGTGAATGACCGCATCCATCAGGGCCGTTCTTGGGCTCGCGTCATGAAAAAGGGGCAGTGTCCTAGAATTGCCGACTTTGGGTGCAAAGCAACACTCTATGAGGAGGATTTTTCACTCCTTTTCCTCATGTTTTATGTGAATTTTTCCCTCCTGCCTGACATTAACTAATCGCACATGCCAAACCCCTATTTCACTTTCTGAGGCTCTACGAGGCTCCACAGAACCTGGACACCTATGGCTATGTCCTACCTCACCTACATCTGAATCATGTGTATGTATGCACAGAGCAAGAGCGTCAGGTACCTCCTATTTTATTTTGGGGGTGAGTGGGATGACTCTGTCTGCCAGCAGACCATGCAAAAGGCACTGACGTTTGTTGTGGCGGAACAGGAAGAAGCCAGTAAGTCTCTTGTGGACCAAGTAATTGGCTTCCTTACCTGGCTGCAACACATGATTGGTAGCCAGAGTTAGCCATTTTCTGTTTAATCATCGAGTTTTGTCATACGGCAAATTATAATGCCACAAGGCACGCAATGGGCTTATTTTGTTCCATATTCTTGATTATTTGCCCCAAATTTCTTGAAGTGGTCACTCATGGCTGCTTTAACCAGATGTTTTCTATAGTTGTCATGAATTACAAGAAGAAATGGGAAATGGCATATGACCTTAGGACCACATCTACTTTTGGCATATGAAACAGCGTCACCACAGAGATGGTACAGTTTGGAAATACCGGGCCATAGGATAAGGTGAGGATGTAGCAATTGATTTTGTTGTCAGCAGAGTCACATCGCCGCGAAAGACTAGCGGACAGAGACTGTCATCTGCAATGTTTAAACTGAGCTGCATAACACATCTGTAAAGACCCATTCAAAGTGGCGAAGATGACGTCATGCATGGTGGGCGACAGACATTGAGCCGTGCCATCGCGCGCCACACAGACCCACCATTCGCTGGCTGTGCTTGGGGAACAGTGATGCACACCCAGCGGAAGATGGGAGCTGATGGCTCGCTGTGAACGCCGGCCGCAATGGCGGTGTGAACAGACGAATGGAGCTGGGCGCGGGCCGTTCTGTTCTGTCAAAGTGGGCGAAGATGACGTCATACATGGTGGCGACAGGACATTGAGCCGTGCCATCGCGCGCCACACAGACCCACCATTCGTTGACTGTGCTTAGGAACAGTGATGCACACCCAGTGCATTGTGAGCCATTAGTGAACGTCGGCCGCAATGGCGGTTCGTAAGCAGACGAATGAAACTGGGCGTGGTCCGTTCGCTTCAAGAGGCCGTTTGCGGCGTTGCGGCGTCCACATTGCTCAGGCATGCGTTTTAAGGTGGCTGTTGGTGGGACGAGTGGGCCAGGGTCCTTTCAAAGACCAATTTGTGAGGCTTTACAGTGCGATTTGACCGTAATGCCTTTTGTGGTTCGGTTTGGACCGGTGCGGGGGACTAGCCAATGTCTCCAAGTACGAACGAAGCTCAAAAGAGGAAGAACAGAGATCAGCAGTGCATTTTAGCAGTAGCAGGCAGCTCAATTAGGATCAGAAAATGATGCCCAATGAGGGCCGATCTGCTGGAAATGGATACAACTAGGAACTATGGTTGGCTTCGACTGAACAGTAAGGGTAAAGTCTTAGACATCAATGATAACCGACTTGGTCGGTTCGTCAATAATTTCTGAGACACATGCTTTGGTTGTGGGGTTGCTACGCAACGCTGAAGCTTAAACTATCAACAATGTTTATAATGGCTGTTGGTAATGGTGAAGATCATGATGGTGATGATCATCTTCACTTTGAGTAAGACGTTCTTTAATGGTTGACATAATGTGCACAAAGGTACAAAGCTTGCCACTAGCCAGGCTCCAAATACCGAAAAAACTGGTGGGAATCAGATCGGTTACGTGTTACCGTCCTATGCATGATGCTTTAACAAATGAAGACTTCAACGTCTGTCGGTGTGCTAATTTCGTTTCGAAACCCCGGTATGCACCTTAACTATAATATTCTTAATTATGTTTTCCCACTATCTGTTAATAAACATGCACGTGCACACATTTGGGCGCAAACAGGCTCGTTTTATCCTTTCGCCCTATCCGATGGGTGATGTGAATCAAGGAAAAAACAAACAAAATTGTTCGGCGTGGTGACCTCATCTTGACCTACAGCAGCCTTAGCCCCTATTTGCCCCTCGTCTCTTGACCCTTATTGATATACTGATATGATCTGTAGCCACTAGGCTTCAGGTTCGTTTACTCGTTTAGAAATGGTTACAAAGCTACGCATCTTCGGTCAGATATGTTAGAGGATTTTTTTAGATATATTGAATCTAAGCATTTCGATTGGATCGTTCAGAAACCAGGCTATGCAATGGTTGTTGCAGGAGTCTCAACCTCACCATCCGATCGTAAAATTCCAGATTCGCGGCAGAATTTCGTGCTTCAAGTTTAACGCGCTGCATTGCTCGGCACGGTCCGTCCCTCCCTTTGATGTCACCTGTCCTCTTGGGCGGCTGCTACCACCGCTCGCACGCCTCGTTCCAAGCTGGGGGAACACGAGCGGTTAAAGCGACTGCGTCCCACTCCGCCACGGATGGATGGATCGAAAGGCAAGCACCGTAAAACACTGAGCTGCCGTGGAGGACAAAGTCTTCAAGATATATTGCTTGTTTTTTTGTGAATCTCGCCGACCGGCGACGGCGTCGGTCTTCCAGAAATATCGGCTCCAGAGTAAGACTAGCCTGAGCTCTAGACAGATTGCCCGCAATGCTGTATCCGATCCGATGATTGGATCCTGAGCCTGCTGTTTGCTCACCAGACAGCAACGCGCTTCGTGAAACAGCCCAGGCATCAATTCCGGGTTCATTGGTCGTTTCGGTGTACTTTGCAGGGTCTCGTCTATCAATACAGCCCGTGGGCACCCATTAGGGCGTCAACGTTCACGATTTGCTGCCGGTTAAGCATCTCGGAGAAGAGCGCTGAGATGTCTCCTGCCCGCCCATCACCTATCTCGTCCAACGGCTGCCCATCGGTCAGACTAATGCTTCTAAGCCACAAAAGCTTCCCAGCTTCTAAGCCACAAACGCTTCCCAGCGTCTAAGCCACAAACGCTTCCCAGCTTGTGTCATGAGACCCTGCGTGGTTGGATTATCTCTTCGACACGAACGCTTCCTTGGTTCGATAGCCTCCTGCTTCGGTGCACAGCTGGAGATCCTGGGTGCTTTGGTGTCCCGGCGATGGGTCGGACGTTGGCCAGAACGGTATCCGACCCCAGAGACCATTGTTTTGTGATCCACGCATGTAGATGTTTCCAGGCCTTTTAGGTTCAAAAACAACAGCACGAAGCGTAACACATTTAGCCTATTGAGGCGAGGCCGAAGGCCAACCCGGCTCTATGTTTAATGAAAGCTTTAACTGAGGTGATGCAGCACGCTGTCGGGAAGCCAACTTCCTTCGCGAACGACTCATTGCAGCCTGGACCAATTTCCAGGAGCTGTCATCACAGCACCTGCACACAAACTGTTTGATTCATTGCCCTGCAACCGAGCCCTGCAACGCCATTGCCCCGCAACACTGCAATCTGAAGAGTTTATAACCTGCCTCACGCCACGGACAGATGCGTCTCAAAGTTAACAAACTGCTCAATAAATGCACAACGAAGGTGTAATTTTTGACGGGGGATGGGGGGGAGGGGGCGCTCGCATCGGGAAACGGTGACTGAAGGTGAGCAGTCGGCTACCTGGCTTCGGACGCGAGCCCTTACTGCGTCCATCTTTGATGGGGTAGAGTTCAATTTTATCGGGACTGGCGCTCGCCCCCGATAACCAGCGCACACAAAGACGTTTAACTAGCTGCAGGATGCAGGAAAATGTACCTGTATGCATTCAAAAGGTTAGGTTTAGTTGTCTTCTTATTGTCGCTTGATAACTATCATATCTGTTATCACCTCGCTTATCTCATGTCACACATAGATGAACATGTGACCAACGTGTTCACCTCACCTTGTGTGGTGGGTGGAGTAATCAGGGCGTGTGTCCCACTCTTATTAAGCTTTAGCTGCACTATGTATGTACGATTGAATGACACTAATTGAAAATCAAAATACGCACGCAGGGATGTAGTTTCCCCATTCATTTTGGGGCTCCGCCCCCCCCCCCCCCCCCCAACACCCTCTTCTCCCAACTTGGGCTCCAGTCCCCCTAACTTTTAGAGGAAAGTGGGCCACATCTGGGGAGACGCCTGTTTATTGGCATATTTTGCGGAGGGTTGGACTATTTTTCACTTTTCAGCCTTCCCCCCTCCCCCAACTTATCCTGTGAGGCTTCATCCTCGCATACACGTGAGAATGCATTAGTTGAAACCATGCAATGTTACGCATTGCACAGTTTCAACGATGTACAAGATTTGCGCTCCTGTAGCGCGCTAGCAGTTTTCTCCGAGGAAATTTTTAAAGATCTACTCCCTCACACCCCTCATTGCGAAACTCTGCCTACACTTCCGGCTGTTGGCTTCTGAGACCATATGACGTTTTCTGCTTCTCATTCTGGCAGGAAGGGTGGTCACCACAGTATCGAACCTCGCATCTCTCAGTTTCACACGATATTATTGGTCGTTTCGGGTCACAGAAGCACGTTGTGAAATGAGGCAACCTGATCTATGCATAAGTGAAGCGCATTGCATACAGCAGCAGAAACGCAAACTTTGTACTTGATCGTGCATACTTTCGGGGATCAAAGTATTTTGTCCACGGTACGCCTCGTCAATCGTCTACGTGCGCCACGACTGCCTCGTCGGCAAACAGCGGCCCGATTGCTCGGTTAGCTAGGAGTGATTGATAGGCGCTGCCTCCGCCTGTTTGGTTGAAAGTCAAATACTACTTAACTTTACACGTGTAGATGCGGCTTGAGTTTTGTTAGGTAGTGTTGGAGGGCGAAGATGCAATGAATTTAGCCGATTAAGCCGATATTAATTAGCTCAGCTGTTCGCATCCATGAGGTTGGTGGAGGATTCTCCAACACATGTGCACATGTGCCATTTGTTTGGGTTACTTTCGTGTAAAGGAGTGTTGAGATTGTGTCATCCCAAAACACTTGTCTGCGGTGTTTTGCATTGTCTACATGGTGCACAATGATGTGCACTGTATGTATGTCATGTGCTCAAATGACAGGGCTTGTTTAATAACTTCCCCATGTTATGGTTCATGATGAAATCATCAAGTTGGGTTCATTGCATTTTGGAGTGTTATTAAGAACCTCTTAATGTATCTCCATCTTTCATAGTCCATAAGCCACTACACATTTGATTGGGGTGGACACATTTTGTGTGAAGTAGCCTATGTAGGTCAGCTTATATTATTTTTATGGCAGTTTTACACATGTCAGGTATATTGCATTGCTGCCAAGTTAGACTAGCATGTTGTTTGTAAGTAAACATATCATTTTTCAATTTAGGACTCAAATGATGTGGAAAAGTAAAATATTTTTCAACTTCAGAATTTGATACAAAAGACTTTGTAAGCAACATCTGTTTGCAGCTGACTAGTTCCAATGTGTTATCAGGAATCATAGTTGGGATATCCTTGCTGAAATTGATAGCTAATGCCAAATAATATCAAAAGATTAAAGGATAATTTGGAGATATAAAAGAACATATGCATCTTCGTGAAATATTTATGCAAAAGCATGTAGGTCATACGTCCTTCTGTGACATGTTCCTGCTAGTTTTTGGACATGCCTGAATTGCAAACAGTAGTTGGTGTCATTCCAGTTAATGCATTTTCTAAATTTCTACTATGGTATTAAGTGTAATACCAAGTCAGTTTGAATTATCATCATTGATCAAAAACAGGAGTTACAAGTTCTTTGATATGGAAGTTACGAAGCTGGAGTTCCAAATCTGTCACAGCGCATGTTTATTGTTATGACACATCTTGTTATTTCCAGGGTTTTTGGGCATGCCAACTGCATTTGCTGTTTGATTTCCATATTGCAGCACAGCTCTGTTACATGCAGGTTTTGACCTTGCTTTGTCATTGCCATGAGGTTTCATTCCCATGTGACTTCATGGTGTTAGAAATTCTGGGCTCGTGAAATTTGGGTCACTTGTGACATTGAAAACAAAGGATGAGCAGCCTAGAAATATAGTAACAGCATGACACTGTAAGGTTATTTTCTGGCAGCAAGTGACTTAGATAATTTTGGTATGGGCAATAATTTGAACTGAGATGAAAGACAGCAATATCTACTTGCCCAGAGGTTTGGGGGAACTTATGGTATAGTGATACCAGAGGTACAAATATAAGTACCAGGTTTGTGGGCCATCTGTTGTGATATTGCGTGATGTGTGATGATTTCCCCATGACAGTTGTCTGTATATTATATATTAGTTGTCATGTATATTTCATAAAGTAATAATGTGCATTTCTTATGGGTCTTGTGTTTGTGCAAGCATGATGGTTTGGTTTGTAGATCTCTGTACATTGTATTACACATATAGTTACCAGACTAAGTCATTATGAGCCAGGTCATGTCAAATGATGTTTATAAGAAAATGAATGCATGTCCATATGGCTGTCATGCTTCTCCATATATAAGTAACTTGGGATGTACTTTCTGTGTGTACACTATTGTGTTGCTGAGCAATCAGGATTTTTCTGATCTCTGATTTTATGAATGACAGAGGAAACAGATTGAATATGCTGCTGATACATGACACATTAGTAAGGATCCAACTGCCAAACTTGTCAGTACTACATTTTGATCCTTGGAATAGTTAAACATCCCCTAGCTTGGGACTGGGTGATGTAACTAATAAAGGTCATTTCTCCTCATGATGTCAACTAATACTATAGCTGTCATCATATCACTAAATTGATAACTGAGCCCCAAAATTGGCTAGCAGGCTTCAAGTTGCAAGTGATCACAATTTTTCCAAACATTTTGGGTCTCTGTTGTGCAACATTCAGAGGGTTTGGGTACTTAGTAAATATGTCTGGTTGTGCAATCTATGCCACTAACTGAATCTTTTGACAGAATTTATAGTTTGGTTCCAGAGCTAAGCTGGGTGGTATCAGACCTCACCCGCCCCCTCCCCACCCCCAGTTATTATACCTCAGTTATGGTCAGTGTAAAGAAGATGAATGCATTTCAGCATGCATTCTGCTTATATAGATCCAAAGAGCTGAGAATTGCAAAAAAGTAGCTTGGGAGGAGGAACTAAACCTGGAATGCTTGGTGACAAATTTGCTGACAAAACATCTGTCACCTCAGGGGGAAACACATTTCTTTGCTCATGTTATGTTTCAAACATTTACATTGATCCTATTTCTTTGCCCCATGAACACTCTTTGGTAGCCTCAGGGTCAAGTTTCTTGTTTATTGAACAGGCACATAAACACTGGACCCACCACCAGAGCTTGAAAGGATTCATAGTGGGATAACCAGATGGTACCTGGAAATACTTGTGGCTTGTGTATGGTGTAGTGCCAACCAGTGTAACATTATCTCGTTTGTGTGGACATGGCTGCCTTCAGTGAGTCTGGAACCCATGGTGGCTGCTGCTCGCTGATGCACATTCAGCGTTGTATTCATGTTACCCCTGGGACAGCTGCTGTTTGAAATGTTGCGGTTTTCTTGGATAGCCGGACTGATATGCACGAGGCAGATAAGTTGAAGATCGACACCCTTAAGTTCTCATTGCCTATAAATGAAGTTCCAATTTTGATTCCGTAGTTTTCCTGAGAATCAGATGTCTCCATTACCGAGTACATTAAGGCTGAACCGCTGAAAGGAAAGAACAAACACAGCTAGACGTTCTGAAGTTCTGGCGCCTGAGGCGGCCTCATAGAGTCGCGAGTGATGCAACATTGCTGGTACACCGAGATCAGTCGCCTCACATCAGCACAACTCCCGGTGCCAAGCAACTTCGCGCAGGTCGATCCACACACATCTCCGAAACTGCGCCAACATAGTTATTGGGTACTGAAAGGCCGGATCTGGCGGCGGTGCCGGCGAGGCGGCCGCGGCTCCGGGCGTCGCCCGCGGCGGAGCCCGGCGTCAGCCGCTCGCCGGGGTCGCTGGGGTCGGTCCGGTGGCCGGCAGCCCGGGTCGGACGGCCCCGGCGGCGCGGTGGGCGGCGGCAGCGGAGCGGACGCTGGTTCAGCACCGCCCGCCTGGCGCGCCGGCGGAAGACGGACGGGCGCTGGCTGCAGAAAGTGGGAGGAATGGCGGCCGACGGGCCGGCCAGCAGCGTAGCTCCGCTGTTCGCGGTCAGTCCGCTAATGTGGGCCGGGATTGCGGGGAGATGATCGGAAAATCATCTTTCAGTTAAACTGCGTTGTTGTCTTGACCGGTGACGGGGCTGTCCGCACAGCCCACATCTTCGCTGAAAGGAAACCCCGGTTGGTTCTACGCCCATTTTCGTTTTCCTCCGTCCACTTCTCGCCGTTAAATGGGCTGGAATCTGTCTAAGCTGTGATTATTTTCTTGAGCGATGGCCCACCGACGATTGTGTGATGTGGTAAAATCTGCTCCAATTCCACGCATTCAGTGCATACCTGTAACCGAATTGAATTTACATTAACGTTTTCGTCATGGGACGGTGTTGTCATCTCGTATTTTTGGGTTCTCGCCAGAACCCCAGACGAGTCACGCAGCGCCTGGCTATCAGGTGCGCTTTAGGTGGAGAGGTTCGGTGACGGCTCAAATCACGCGCGCGCTTGTCTGCGCTACATCGCTCGAGACTCGACGCAAATTGGCCGGATCGGTTTCACTAGGAGATACACAAATCCCCGCGTGATAATGTTATTGGTATGCTAGTGGCCGAATGGAGTCGCACGCGAAGAGCTGAACGTGGAAACCTAACCGGCTTTGTTAGAAGGGAGACTCGACTCCGTGCCGTGCAGCTACCTGTGATAGGCTAGGATGATGTTGATTTCCTGCGGCTTACGACTGCTTTGTCTGATGTTCAGCTGCGCTGGTTTGTTGTTGGTCACGGACTAGTTCATGCAGATAATGCCCAGGTGAATGTTATTAAGGAAGGTGGTTTTAATAGTATCTGACCATTTTCAGGTGATCCGCCACCATGTATAGGAACCAGGGACTCCATGGACACAATCGGAAACCTGCTCAAAGTAAGTGTCCATGACTGATCAGTCAGTCAAAATCAGCGTTTTGACTACGTCAGAGAACAAGTAACAATTACAACAACAAAATACAAACAGAATGCATTCACACATCTTTACGAGTGACAAAAGATCATTCTGCGTTTGCGGTGTTTCCGCGCTATACTGTGACATAGTTGCGCAGGTAATTTCCAGCACGCGCGCGCCACTGTCCGAGGGAAAATTGCTGTGCTAATGCGGGGTTTCCTCCGACAGCTAAGCAGGCCGCCGGCTGGGGTGGAGCCGACCCAAACGTCAAGGTCTTCACCCCGGACAGCGTGACGACGCCGAACCAGGCGAGTAACACCCTCCCCTCCCCCCCCCCCCCCCCATCGTCGGCTTAGGCTGCTATGGAGCTGTCAGAACTGCCACAGCTGTCCGCAGCAAAGTGCTGGGACATTTATGTCAGAGATAATGCGTTGTGTAGATTTCTGTGGGCAGTAATGGGTTGGGCGGTGGCTGTGTAAGGCGTGCCTTACGGCGAATAAATGGCGGTGGGGGCTGTTGGAAGGTGACCTATGCTTTTGACCTGTGCTTTGACCTCTGTTGGCGCATTATTGCAACTCTTGTTACAATTGTTTTTGAAAGGTCAGATGCAGTTGTGTTGATAAAATTATACAATGGCCATTCAACTAATAACTGCTGCACTGTATGGGCATTGCCTCGCCACTCCGCCCCGCCAGCGCCCCTCATGCGCACTGTCACACGTGAGGCGGCCGGCGGTGCTGATAGTGGCTGCGCCGGCGTCGGCAGGGCCAGAGCGGCTGGGACTGGAACGCCTCCTGGGAGCCGTCGCCGGCGGCCGCGGCGCCCACGTCGCCGCACCAGTACTCAGCGGGCGCGGCGGGCGCCGGGCCGCCGCCCCAGCCGCCGGCGGCCGCCCCGGCGCGCGCCAGCCGACCGGCGCCGGCGCGCGCGCCGCCGCCGGGCCAGCCGTACTCGGGCGCGCCGCCGCCGGCGCGGCCGCCGCAGATGTACCCGGCCGCGGCGGCGCCGCCCGCGCGGCAGCCTTACGCGGGCGACCTCGCTCCGGCGCCGGCCGCGGCGCTGCAGGCCGGCGCCGAGTATTACCCGTCGGCCAGCGGACATCCCGCCCCGCCGTCCGGCGGCCAGCCGGGCGCGGGCGGCTTCCCACCTCCGAGCGGGGGTTTGGAGTTAGACCATTACCCGCCGTCCAGTGGATATACGGGTGTGGATAGTTTCCCGCCCGCTGGTGGTATTGCGAGCGTGGACCATCTTCCACCGTCTAGTGGACATGCAGGCCCAGAGCACTATCCACCCTCCGGTGGACACCCAGGCTCAGACCACTACCCACCCGCCAGTGGGTATCCGCAAGGCCATTACCTACCTTCGAGTGCTCATCCAGGCTCGGACACCGTTCTGCCTTCTGGGGGCCATCCAGGCTTGGACAGGTACCCGCCTTCCAGTGGCCAGCCGGGTGCAGACCACTACCCACCCTCCAGTGGTCATCAGGGACCAGACCACTACCCTCCCGTTAGTAACCACTACCCAACCGCCGGCGGGCACGTGGCCTTGGATAGCTATCCCCCGTCCGGTGGTCACGGTCACCCCAGCCTGGACGGTTACCCGCCGGCGGGCGGACACCCGGACCTGTACCCGATGTCGGGCGGCCGGCCCGTGCTGGCGTCCGTACCCGCCGGCCGGCACGCCGCCGGGGTCGGCGCGCCACCCGAGCGACGGCAGCGGGCCGCCGGCGGCCGAGCCGTACCCGCCGCCCGGCGGAGAGCTGTACCCGGCGGCGGCGGTGAGCGGCGCCGAGCGCGCGCCGCCCGCCGGCGACGGCCTCGCCGGCCACGGCCAGCAGAACGGCGGCGACTGGGGCTGGCCGCAGCCGAGCCAGCCGTACGCGGCCGACGGCTGGGGCTGGGGCCAGCAGGGTGACGGCGAGATGGCCGACGACGAGACGGGCACCGTCGGCGTGTTCTTCGGCGGCGGCGACGAGGGGCAGGAGGCGCCCGTGCAGGCTCTCACGGCAGGTCTGGGACAGCTGCACATGAACGGCACCGTCGAATCTCCCGTGCACGGTGAGTGGCGCCGGCCCGCGCCCTCTCCTCGTGCGGGGACGATAAGGTGTCCAGTGCGGATGCATGGTTGTCATGGCGCGTGGACTGTACTCAGCGTAAGTTGCAGCAAAGCATCGCATATTCCGCTGTTGTTTTGCCACGTACAGTGTCCTCCATTCGCCGCCGACTGTACTCACCATATGAGCTGGGCAGTCTGCGCGACCTAAAGCCCAAATCATTATCGGCAGCGCTGCCGCCAGTGTCGAGCTCACGAGGCTTCATCTGTACCCTCCACGACAGCGTCTTGAGCTAACAGTCGCTGTCAGTGTATAAAAGGGACGACAGTCGCCGGTGCGCCTGACGCGCCGTCTCTGCCGTGCCGCAGACGCCGCCGGCCTCGGCTGGGAGTCAGGCGCCACGCGCGCGGCCGGCGCCGAGCCGCTCGGCCATCGCATGACGCCGACCGGCGGCCGAGAGGGCGACGCCGAGCCGCCGGCAGCCGGCCCGCCGCCGCCGCAGCCGCCGCCGCCAGCACCGGCGCCGGCCGATGACGGCGGCGACCGGCCGCGCTCGAGCCACTCCAGCGGCTCGCACGCGCCGCAGCCGCCGCCGCCGCCGGGCGAGCAGCGCAACAGCCCGCTGGGCACGGCCGGAGCGCCGCCGGTCGCCGCCGCGGCGCCCGCCGCCGACGAGCCCGAGAACCGCGAGGTGCCGCCGCCCGACGAGGCGGCGGCGCAGGCGTCGTCGGCCGTAAGTGGAGGAGGCGGGAGGGTTAGCGTAGAGACGGGCCACGTGTGGAGCTGTGTGGCAGGCTTGGGTTCATTGTTGTGCCGCCCTGGGGAGGGGGTCTTGGCTTTTCCGCCCCGGAGACGTGGACCGTTTTGTCGCTGACGCTTATCCCGTAGATGGTGAACGAATTACACTATTGCTTGCTCGCTCAACACCGTTTTCTCGGAAATTGACAAACCTCCAATACCAAGCTGAACGTTGAACGACAGATGAAGTGATTGTTTGGAATCTCGCCATCTCTGGTGCGTTAGTATGTACACAGCGTCTCGGCCGGTTAATTCTCCGGCCGTCGTCGGGTGTTATTGGATCCTAAGAAGTACGGAATGATGCTTGGCTTTCAGCCATCTGTAAGCGTGACGACGCGAAGAGAGAGTTAACTGTCAGAAACGTCGCGTGCATACTAGCACCATTGGAGGACAATAATCCGAACGATTAGTCCATCCGTAATACTAATATCTCTTCTTAATCCATTCGTAAGCTGTAATCAATCCTAAACCCTCGCCCACCTTTCCCATACATCAGACACAGCTGGGCGCCGGTGTCCGGTGCCCCGCCCGTCCGCCGCCAGCTGTCCGTCCGCGGCGTGACGTTCGGTCTGTGCCGGCAGGCGCCGCCACCGCCGCCGGGCGGCCCGGAGTGGGCGCACCCGCAGGGCGACGGCTCGCACGCGCCGCCGCCGCCGGCCGCCGCCTCGGCCGCCGCCGAGCCGCGCGTGGTGCCGGGCACGGGCCCGGCGCCGCCGTCGGCCGGCTCCGGCCGGCTCTCCGCCTTCGCGGCCGTGAAGCCGCCGGCGCCGCCGCCGGGCGCCGACGGCCCGGGCGCGGCGCGGCCGCCGCCGGACGGGCCGGCCGCCGAGCGGCGGCGCTCCCCCGACGGGCCGCGGCCGCAGCGCTCCGAGACCATCGGCTCGGAGGACCGGGCGGCGGCGGCGGCCGGCGCCGCGCCGCCGCCGCCGCAGCAGCAGCCGGCCAGCACGCGGCGCGGCGACGGCGAGGACGGCGGCCGCGAGGAGCGCGAGGAATCGCGCGGTCGCGACGAGCGCGGCCGCGACCGGGAGGACCGGGAGCGCGACAGATACGACCGCCGCTACGACGAGAGGGGCACGGACCGCCGGGACAGAGACCGGGACCGCGATCGGGACCGCGACCGGGACCGGGACCGGGACCGCGACCGCGACCGAGATGGGAACAGGGACCGAGATCGTGATCGTGATCGGGACCGAGATCGGGAGCGGGACCGGGACCGAGACCGAGACCGGGACCGGGACCGGGACCGCGACCGGGACCGTGAGCGGGACGACAGGTGAGAGCGACAATACGTAGTCATCATTGCCAGTGGCCATGGTGTTCGCTTGCAACGCCGCAACGTAGGATCAGCCTTTCTAAGTTCTTTGTCGATTGACCACGTGCGGAAAGTAATCTAGCGCCTCTGTGAAGCTGAACACCTGACATTTCCACGATGTCTGGTGATGGCCCACCATCACGGCTGAACTTCGGGGAGCGCATCGCCCTCTGGAGGTCGGGTACACGGGAGGGCCAGTGACCAATCAGTGCAGCACGATGGCTGTATTGCGGGTGGACGGACGTAGCCACTTGAGCCATTAGCGGCTAACAAACGTACTGCGTGCTTCCTGATACAAGCAATAGGACCATTCGGCTTCTGTTTGCTTCAGAATAATGACTTGTGCGGGAAATTACTGATCTTCAGCATCGCAGAAGGTGCTGGTCAAACAAAGGAAACAGTCAGCCATTGGAAAATATTTTCAAAATGTTGATTACGAGTAAACACGGTTAAGCAAAAACGTGGCAGAGGAGGTTCAAAAGCACAACGCACAAATAGATTGGTTGAAATTTGTGCAGACTCTACCAACGACAAAAAACGGGAATAGTCAGCCATCCAAGCTTTCATATTTTAACACCCGATGCACGATATTATGCTAAAGGCAGCCCGAAACACAAACGTTGAAGCCGAAACATTCCGAATTCAATTAATCGTATTGAGCGTACGGTTCGAAAGGGACCTGCTCAGGTACATCAGCGCCCCACGCAGCGATAAACCAACGTTTTCTAAACGTACCTTGACTGAAGAACGCCGCTCATTTAATATCCCAGAATGACGGTCGCGTCCGCGCTGCTTTTTGCTTGACCTTGGTTATTATTTAATTTGGGGACCTCTTGAAGCGCATATTTTAGTAACATGCTCAAACGAGTGATGGATACTTGCACACTTAATGCGAGTGAGAAACGTGAACACGTCTCACTGATTGCTATGCTGGCCTTATTGTTGTCATAAGTGCCCCATGTCAGACATTGGAGTGTCCCGCGCCATGTGACCACCCGCGCCCGCCCGGCAGGTACTACGAGCGTCGTAACCGGTACGACAGCGTGGAGAGCCGGCGGGAGGACGACTACGGCCGCGATTACGACCGTCACACGCGCCGGCGCGAGGACCGCTACTCGCGCGACGAGTACGAGGACAGCAGGTGAGCGCCGGGCCGAGGTGGCGACCGGCCGGGCGGCGGCGGACCGGCAGGAGCGGTGCCAGGGGTCCTGCCACGGGCGGCGCTGCGAGCCGAGCCAGGGGCAGCGCCAGGACCGTCAGGACACCGGCTTTGTGGCGTTGTGTGTAATTGCGACGAAAACGCTGTGACGGAGGCTCTCGTGAACAAGAGCCTCCGCCTCGGTCCAGCGTCTGAGTTGTTGTCACTGCTGTGGCGGCCCTCTGTTCCCCGGGGCCCGTGTACTGCGGCGTCCGTACCGGGGGCGCCGCCGTGCCCTGATCCTCGAGCCGCCGGCTGCCGCCTCTAACGCCTGCCCCTGCGCCGGCCAGGCGACGGCGGGAGCTGGACACGCGCCGGGAGCGGCGCCGCGACCGGGACGAGCCGTACGAGCCGGAGCGCTCGCGGCCGAGCAGCCGAGCCGGCTCGGAGCGCGACTTCGAGCCGCGCCCGCCCTCGCGCTCGCACTCGCACTACTCGCACCGCGACAGCTACGGCCACGGCTACTACGGCGGCCGGGAGCGCGGCGCGTCGCGCGCCGCCGACCCGGCCCTCTACGGACGTGAGTGGGTTATGAATAACGTCACGTGAGGCGAATCTCTTCCATGATGGCTCATTTTGCGACGGTGATGGCCTTAGCGGCGGGATGGGTCCACGAATAGCCTGGTATGGGGCGTGTCAGCCGACTGTGAGACGTCTGAGGGACGCCGCACACTGGCCGCTTAGTGAGATAGCCCGGGCCGGGCAGACCTCGCGCATGTCAGCTCCGCTCGGGTCCTCGGCTGGGAATGGCGGTGATTTGCCCCATATCGGCCGCTGACAAGCGCCATTTAGAAGGAAGAGTTCTGTGGCCCGATTTGGCGCCGCTGTGCGGTGGCGTAAGTGGCGTGGCGTGCTCGTGTGTGGGCGGCGACGGATCCGGCGGTGCTCGCGACCGCTGACGCCCGCTGACGCCCGCTCCTGGTGGTCGACAGACGCGGCGGCTGGGTACGCGGCCGGCCAGCGCGCCGCCTACGACCCGCGCACGCTCTACAGCTACTTCGTGCACCTGGAGCGGCTGCGCGCCACCAACCCGCAGCTGTTCACGCAGCAGATGAGCGCATACAGGTGGGGCCGAGCTGTCCGCGGTGGTGGCGTGGCCGCTCTCCGACGGGGCGCGCGTGACGACCGTGACCTGTGACCCCGCGTAACGACCGTGACCCCGCCTAGCGACGGCGGCCCGCGGTGAGCCGGGCCGTCGCCGACCTGTGACCCCACCCGACGACTGTGACCTGCGACCCCGCCTGACCACCGTGACATGTGACCCTGCCCAATGAAGACCGTTACCCGTGACCCCGCTTGACGACCGTGACCTGTGACCCCGCCTGACGACAGTGACCCGTGGTGACCGGGGCCGCCGCCGCCGGCAGGACCAACAACCCGCCGTTCTACCGGGACCTGTGCGCGCGCCACTACCGCAGTCTGCTGCAGGGGGCGGGCGGCGCGCCGGCCGCCGCCGCCTCGTACGCCGGCTACCCGGCCAGCGAGGAGCGCACCAGCGTGCACAGCGGGCGCAGCTCGGTGAACGGCGACGACACCAAGGACAAGTGCGTGCTGATGCTCAGCTATGGGGACGGGGGGGGGGGGGGGGGCAGTACTGTACCGGGGCGGGCGTCTCCTCCTCGGACGCAGACGGGGGCGGGCTGGTCGGGGGACGCCATTGATGGCTTGGGGAGGGGGCTTTTGAAGGTGAGTGGATGTTTGGGGAGATGAGCTCGTGATTTAGGGTGATTACAGGGGAGGCTCTCATATGCTTCTTGTCAGTAGCGAATGAGATTACCCAGTTCCGGTTATATGATGAGTAGTTCCATTCACATAAAACACCAGTGATTGTTTTCTTTTCTCAATGTCGCCCAAAAGTAATAACAGACACGGGGGTTTGGCATTCACTGTATGTTACCTACCTATTAATCACACTCAACTATGAGTCATATCCTAACATCACCGCCCAGTGCGTTGAAGCACCTGAAATAAGAAACGTTGGCCTGGCTCACAGACGATTTTTTTCCTTGCTGATGCATTTCGGAAACTACAGAATTATTGAACTTTACCTTGTACAATAGTGTGTACTCCGCCCGACGGCGGTACGTTGAAATGCGTGCATGAATAGACGTGTGGTTGACTTTCGTGTACATGGGAACAGTACTCTGCTTCGGGCGGTGTTTCGTTTGGCTGATTTTCGTACCGTTGGAATGTGGTGCGTTTTAGTTGGCTTGCGCTGGGTGGTGCTCGGTGCAAGCATTTCGGTTTGACAACTCCTGGCATGCGGTGTTCAAGGTTCTATGCAAATAATCCTACCCTCCCACGATGACACCCTCGGTCTTTTATCCGGCGCTGCTTCCTTTCTCGCGATTACACTGATCTCACGGGGGTCAAGTCAGGTCAAGTCAGATCAGGTCAGGTCAGGTCAGGTCAGGTCAGATCAGGTCTGGTCAGGTCAGGACAGGGACCGAGGTCTGCGAAGGCCAAAACGTGCGTGAACGGGACGTTGCTTGAGGCTGGAATAAATCGCGTGGGGTTTTGTGCGGGGGATGTGTGCGTGCGTGCGTGCGCGGCGGGTGTGTGTGTGTGTGTGTGTGTGTGTGTGTGTGTGTGTGTGTGTGTGGTGTGTGTGTGTGTGTGTGTGTGTGTGTGTGTGTGTGTGTGTGTGGGTGTGTGTGTGTGTGTGTGTGTGTGTGTGTGTGTGTGTGTGTGTGTGTGTGTGTGTGTGTGTGTGTGTGTGTGTGTGTGTGTGTGTGTGTGCGTGCGTGCGTGCGTGCGTGCGTGCGTGTGTGTGTCGTATCGCATTGCGACAGCGCGGTTTTTCTGGAAGAAACCAGCATCGCTTGCGAACACACAACACGTGAATGCTTTGTATCCCTCCACTCTAATGTTTGCCAGAAAACTCTGATGCAGACGCCGTCTTCCACGAACAGCCGTTGCTTGGCATGTGATATACCTGCGGTCCCAGCGTACGACCCAACGCGCGACTCACGCGAACTGTAACGCGCAGCGCGACGTAAAGCACGACCAAAGATACAGCGCGCCACCAGCTCCCTCCACACGCACGCACACGTACACGCGCAACGCACGCGCACACGCTCACACACGCACACGCACCATCCGCCGACCGACAGTCCCGTGACCCCGGCCTCACCGCCTCTTCCGCCTGCCGCGCGACGCTCAGTGGGTGCCGTGTCGTACCGCGCTGCGCCGCGCCGGGTTGGCTGGTGGCGGGGCTGACCGGGGCCGGTCTGTGCGCGCGCGTGCCGCAGCTTCGCCGCCGACTTCCACCAGCAGCGGCCCGGCTCGGCGCTGGCCTACGAGCCCAGCGCCATCCTGGCCAGCGAGTCCTACCTGGCCGGAGACGTCTCCGCCCGGCTCAGGTCAGTGGGGAGGGGACGGACGTCATCAGCACCCCTCAGGTCAGTGGGGAGGGGACAGACGTCATTGGCACCGCTCAGGTCAGTCGGGAGGACGTCACCAGCTTCTCTCAGGTCAGTCGGGAGGACGCCATCAGCTCCGATCAGGTCAGTCGAGAGGGGACGGACGTCGTCGCACCCCCCAGGTCAGTGGGGAGGGGACGGACGTCATCAGCACCCCCCAGGTCAGTGGGGAGGGAACGGACGTCATCAGCACCCCCCAGGTCAGTGGGGAGGGGACGGACGTCATCAGCACCCTTCAGGTCAGTCGAGAGGGGTCGGACGTCATCGGCACCCCTCAGGTCAGTCGAGAGAGGGACGGACGTCAGCAACACCCCTCTGGTCAGTGGGGATGGGACGGACGTCATCAGCACTTCAGGTCAGTCGGGAGAAGACGGACGTCATGGGCACCCCTCAGGTCAGTCGAGAGAGAGAGACGGACGTCATCATCACGCCTCAGGTGAGTGTCAGCGGCGAGCGGTCGAGCCGAGCCGGGCCGGTCGCACCGCTGCTGATAACGGGACCGCTCAGGGTGGACGCGGCTGGTGGCGGCATGGGGACAGCACCGCTGTCGCGAGCAGAAAGTCTGTGCGCCATTGCGCCTAGCCACGCGCCGTGCGGCCTTTGCGCCTTGGGCGGTAGGGCAGGACCTGCGCGGCGCCGGTGACGGCTCGGCGACGGGTCCGGCGCCGGGCCGCCCGACACCAGCAGGTCGTGGGTGCCGGAGGGCCCGCTGACGAAGCCGGTGACGGCTCGCTGACGGGTCCGGCGCCGGGTGGCCCGGCGTCGGCAGGCCGTGGGTGCCGGCGGGCTCGCTGACGATGCCGGCGGCGCTGTCGGCAGGCGGTTCGAGGAGACGCCGGTGGAGACCAAGCCGGAGCGGATGACACCGGCCAAGTTCGCCTACCCGCACGTGGTCGGTGAGTAGGCGGGGATGCAGGGCGAGCGAGCGCTCGGACGACCGGCGGCGGGGTCTGCGTCGGTTCAGGTCTGGTCTGGGTGCGCCTGGAATAGTCGCTTCGTCACTCAGGGGCGGGGTCTGCGGTGTGTCTGGAGCTCTTGACTGGGCGGGGTCGAGTTTGTTACATTGCAGTGGTCACGTCTGGGTCGTCTAGGGTTGTTGGTAGGAGCGCAGCGTGCTGGCGTGTAGGCCCCTCCACTTGTCTGGCGTAGAGCGTGACATCGAGCCTCCTCTGCTTTGGCGGGTTGGCCTGGATGGAAGGTCACATTGGTGTCTTGGACCGTCAGGGTGACGGAATGTCAATGCCGTAAACGGCACTCAGGATCCTCATTTTCTGAGCGAGAGTCACCTGTCTCCGGGGCTCTTTGCTCCTTAACGCAAGAAGCGCAGTGTCCCGGCCGTCTTCAGCAGCCGTGAACGTGCCCTCGAGCAGCACCACAGGGTGGTCAGCCGGCGCTGGCATGACGGGCAAGCGCGCGCCCGAGTGTGGCCGCGGCCTCTGAGCTCTGACCTCGCCCGGCGTGCGCCCCGGCCAGTGCGCTTCTCGGCGTCCGGCCATCTGGTGCGCGTGCTGCCGCACAGTCCGGCCGACGGCAGCGCCGCCCTGGTGGAGCTACACGACACCGGCGCCCTGCTGCAGGCCACGCCCGAGGCCGCCGAGCTGCGTCGCTTCCCCGGACCGCTCGTCAAGTGAGCCACCATCGCTCGCGATGTGGGGATGGGGAGCGATCGGCCGTTGATAGTCCCGCCAGGATGGTGCTAGAGAGCTGATGTCTGTCATCTCGCTTGCTGTGGGTCCGTTGGATCCCGGGTGTTTTTGTCCGTCATTGGAACACCGTATTGCCATGTGTCATAGGGTCCTGTCATCTGCTCCCCTGTTATCATCCCTTGTGATAATCTGCATCTGCAAACCCAATCATTCCAACAGGGGTTGCAGTGTCGCCATTTGTTCGGCGCGTTCATAAATTTTCGGGAGGCGTCAATTTCAACGCAGCCGCGACGGGAACGCGCCACAGCCGGTAGACTGATGACCGCGCCGATTGTGAGCATTGCCGGGCCGTCTTCCCAGGAACGACACGCACAAGAACAGCGTGCTGCAGTTCTGTCAGCAGAAGATGCGGGAGGCCGAGCAGCAGCCGGCGCTGGTCGACAAGGAGTCGTGTCTGCTGATCTGGCAGCTGCTGCTGCTGCTCATCCGCCAGAACGGGGTGAGGCGACGCCGGGGTGCCGGCCGGCTGCGGCTGGCCGGGCGGCGACGGGACAGCGGGAGGGCCGCGTGTGGCTGAGCCTCGGGCGGGATGGTCTGCCACTGTGTGGCTGGTACTGAGTTGGAACAGTCTGGTCAAGGCTGTAGCTGGGGTTGGCTTGGGTTAGGCAAGGTAAAGTTAACTAGGTTCGGCATGGTTGGCCATGATTGCAAGTCATGCCCAGTGAAATTAACGTTGGCTGACATCGATAAGCTAGCAAGTACGCCGGGGCTATGAACTGAATATTGCAGGATGCACTTCCAGAGATTGATAAATGTGTAAGTGTAAGGTGGACAAGCGTGTGGCTCCGCGAGGGTTTGCTGTCCTTCCATCATCATCACCAGCTTGTGATCAGCAGTCAAGCCCACCTGGTCTTGTTCCTGTGACCTTCCGGGGGCGCCTCGTCCACCCAGGTGGCCGCGCTGGACGTTGTCCCGTGTTGTATGTCGTGTCGTGCCACATGTCTGCGGTCTGCGTACTCCCGCCGCCCTGCGCCTGTGTCGTGGGGCCCTGCACCAGTGTCTGCGACCTGTCATGTGAACGCCTCGCGTGCGAGTCGTGTGGTAGTGTGTGTGTGTGCCATGCCCTTTACACGTGTGTCGTCTGACCGCGTGACGTGCGTGTCTAGCCGCCCGTGGGACGGTGCCTGCGGCAGTCTCTCGCAGCTTGTATTCCGCAGTCTCCCGCAGTTTGTCTTTTGCAGTCTCCCGCAGTCTGTCTGCCGCAGTCTCTCGCAGTCCGCTTGCTACGTCGACCCGTCTAAGTCTCCCGCAGTCTCTACACAGTCTGTCTGCCGTAGTCTCTCGCAGTCTGCTTGCCTTGTCCGCTTATCGTAGGCTCCTACAGTTTGCCAGTCGTGTACGCCTGCCGCAATCTCCCACAGCCTGCCTGCCATGTCCGCCCGCCGCAGTGTGCCGCAGTCTGCCGGCCGTGCCCGTCTATCAGTCTCCCACAGTCTGCTGGCCTTGTCCGCCTGCCGTAGTCTGCCGCAGTCTGCCCGCCGTGTCCACCGGCTGGCGCCCTCGGCCCGCCCAGCTGACCCGCCGGCCGCCGCTCGCCGCCAGATGGTGGTGGGCTCGGACATGGCCGAGCTGCTGCTGCGGGACCGGGACCCGGTGACGGCCGAGTCGGCCGAGCCGCAGGAGGAGGACGGGCCGCCGTCCGGCCGCCGGTCCGTCGACAGGGCGCTGGTGACGCGCGCCGAGCGGCCGGCGGAGCCACGCGCCGTCCGACGCTTCACCGAACTCCTGCTCTACGGACACCGCAAGGAGGCGCTCGGTGAGGGGCCGGAGACCCTGGGCGCAGGGTGCGAGGCGGCGCGGGTCAGCGACGCTGGGTGTAGGATGGGACGCTGGGCGGAGGGCGGACGCGGGGGGGGGGATGCGGCGCAGGCAGGGACATTCGGTAAGGGACGGGACTCGGCGCGGGCGGGGGACGCCGGGCGGAGGGCGGGACACCCGCGGCAGTCTTGTTGGTGACGTCAAGAGTTAGCTGCATCGATACTTAGTCCGGCAAATGACGTCATTGGCAGTATGCAAGTGAAGATTGGCTTGCTGTCGTATGTGTCCAAAGGGCAGGGAAGAACGAACTGTTGCTCATTGATATGGCTTGTGAGCTTGCATGGAACATGGTATGTGGCCGGTGACGCTTGCACCTCTCCCCTCTCGTCAAGGCCAGCGCATTGTTTGTGGTGTGGCTCTGACTGCCGGCGCTTGCCGTGAGTGTGCCGCGGCCCGAGCGGGCCTGCCCACCAGACCGTGCGTCGTGCCCATCTGACTATACCTCTGACCGTCCTCCCCCTCCCCCCCCCCCCTTCACAGAGTGGGCAATGAGGCAGGGCATCTGGGGCCACGCCCTGTTCCTGGCCAGCAAGATGGACCAGCGCACCTACGGCCAGGTGATGGCGCGCTTCGCCAACGGCCTGCTACACAACGACCCGCTGCAGACGCTGTACCAGCTGATGTCGGGCCGGCAACCCTCCTGCACGACGGTCAGTCAGCGGCGGCGGCAAGCCGACGCAGTCGCGTTTCGCTTGCGTTGTTACGAATGGTGTTCGGCGTAGACGTTGCTGGTTTGCGTTTGCGTGCGGCTTTGTGCTGTTCTGTGACCGCAGTGTTGCCGAGCGAAGTCCGGCGTATGGGTGAATAAGATTGCGGCTGGGGTGGAGCCTGCTCGCCGCGCGGTGTCGGCCCGCTGCCGGCGGCTGCCCAGCTGCGCTCGTGCGGGAGCCGGCCGCGCCTGACCATCCGTCGCCTGGGCCGCAGAGCTGCGCTGACGAGCGCTGGGGCGACTGGCGGCCGCACCTGGCCATGATCCTCTCCAACACGACTCACCGGCCGGAGCTGAACCGGCGCGCCATCGTCCAGCTCGGCACGCTCGGTGAGGGCAGGCAGGGGGCTCTGGGGCGAGGGGTGTGGTCAGGGGGAAACGCTCGTGAGGGCAGGCAGGGGGGCTCTGGGGGCGGGGTCAGGGGGAAACACGCTCCGTGAGGACAGGCAGGGGGCTCTGGGGGCAGGGTGGGGTCAGGGGGAAACGCTCGATGAGGACAGGCAGAGGGGCTGTGGGGACGGGGTCAGGGTGAAACACGCTCCGTGAGGACAGGCAGGGGGCTCTGGGACGGGGTCAGGGGGAAACACGCTCGTGAGGGCAGGCAGAGGGGCTCTGGGGACGGTCAGAGGAGGAGGCGCCCTTTTGAGGACGGAGGTTGGATTCGGGCATCAGAACAATTGGGAACAGGATAGTTGCACCCCCGAACGATATCACAGTGTTAAATTGCAATGTTTGCACATGTAATGGTGAAACGCTGAATGTGCAATATGACTTTATCCCCATTTTTTGCGTAAAGTTTGTAAACTGGCTGACGACATTTGAGGTACTACAACGATGCCCCATTCCACCCACACTAAATGAATAGCAGGTAAAACTAGACATCTTCTGGGGCATTAGATCAAATTGATCTCGGCGACAAATCGGTACGGACCTGCCGGGACAATAAATTCTACTTGGGTGAGCTTGCTTACCGTCGTTTTCTGCACGCTGTCACTGAGCAGTGCGAGAGCCGCACTCCAGTGCGGCGTGCCGTGGGCATGGTGCGGCGGCCGGGGCAGCCGCCACCGGCTGACCGTCGGCGTGCGCGCCGGCCGCTGACGTGCGGCGCCTCCGGCAGCGTCGCGCGGCCTCCTCCACGCCGCCCACTTCTGCTACCTGATGGCGCAGTGCGAGTTCGGCCCGTTCGACCGCAAGTCCGTCCAAGCTGGTGCTGATCGGCGCCGCCCACCAGCTACCGTGGCGTCGCTTCGCCACCAACGAGGCCATCCAGCGCACCGAGGTGTTCGAGTACGCCCAGAGCCTGGGCACCACTGACTACGTGCTCACGCATCTGCAGGTGAGGATGCGCGCGCGCGGGCGCTGGGTCACGGCTGTGCGGCGGCTGAGCCGTTCGCGTGTGTGCAGGCGAGAACTGCGGCGGGCCGTCAGGCACAGCGCGCATCGTCCGTCCACTCTACTTGCGGCCGCTAGAGCCAGCTACGTCTCGTCAGAGACAGTCTTGATTGCTGCTTCATCACAAAGATACGCTTGCCAGCAGACACACAGAAAACGCGGTGTCTGCATCTATATGTCTTTCGACGGCAGTCACACTTTCGTCGGCGCGTCGGCGCTGTCCCTGCTGTGCGGCGCCGCTCGGCGCACAGCGCTGTGCGGTGCTGTGCCGGCGCTGTGCTGACCCGCGTCGGACGCGCCGCAGGCCATCAAGCTGGTGTACGCCACGCGGCTAGCCGAGGCCGGCCTCATCAGCGAGTGCCTGCACTACTGCGAGGCGATCGGCGGTCTGATCGCCCGCTACCCGACCGCCTTCAACTACGGTGAGTCGGCCGCGCGGGAGAGCGCCGTCCGGCGGCCGGCCGAGGGGCGGTTCGGCTCAGAAGCCCGGCGCGGTCCTACCCGCAGGTTGGGGATCCGTGCAGATGGGGGTGGTGAGGGGACGCCGCTGTGGTCGTTGTCAGCCCCACAGGCGCGTGTAATCAACGGTACGGGCGGAAATATCGGGATGAAGTGGCTAGAGCGGCTACCTGTGTCGTGAAGTCATGAACTCCACAAATCTGGTGTTGTAAAAGCGCTCGTGCTAGCGTTGCGTGACCGTGCTGCAGCGCTCGCTGTGCGTCCGTACCGCGCAGTAGCCTTGTGTGTCTGTGTGTGAGGGGTGGGGGAGGCATGCCGCCGGTCTGACCCGCCTGACCGAGCCGGCCGGCCGCAGCGCTGGTCAGCCGCGTCTACGACCTGGCCAGCCAGCTCAAGTACCACGACGCGCACTACCAGTCCGGCGAGGGCGAGCTGGCCGAGATGGGCGACCCCGAGTGGCTGCTGGCCGTGCAGAGCGTGCTGATTCAGATGCAGGTGAGCGGGGGGCCGGCCGCCGCCGCGGCCCGGTCCGGCCGCGCTCAGCGGACGGGGTCGAGCTGTGACGTCGCGCTCGCACGCGGCGGCCGCGCGGGGCTGACGCGAACGGCTGCACGGGACATCCGTCCCTCTTATCCTCTTATCTTGCTGCATCCTGCATCCTCGCGACACCCCGCTTGTCCGGGGCAGGCTGCATGCGTCAGCCACGAGTGGGCAGAGAGCCCCGTGGGAAGGGGGACCCCGGCCGGGTACCCACGCATGCGCGGGTTCAAGCTCGGCGCTTGGCCCTCCAGGTGCACGCACGTCTGTCCCATCGTTCACCATTTTCCTTCATCCCATAGCCCTGAAATGATCATGTCTGGTCGAAAGGGCTCTAATCCAAAAACCAAACCAACGACTGCACGGGTGCAACACTCACAGGTCATGCCGCGATCGTGCATGGCCGCACTTAGTTGGTCGCAGCGTTACGCACGTTCAGAACTGGCTTACGGTATCGCGCCTGTACAACTTCCACATACAAGTGATCCGCAGCACTCTTGTCCGCTTGACGCCCGCTGAGAGCCGGCGGCCGGTCGACGCCGCCCCGAGCCTTGATGGCCGCGCGGCAGAAGGTGGAGTCCAGGCTGGAGATGAGGCCGCTGTGGCCGGCGGGCTGGTGCGCTGACGTGGTGGTGATGGCGCCCAGGTCAGCGCCAGGCCTAGTTGGTGCGGACGGCAGGGGAGGGCGCGGTGGCAACGGAGCCTGCCTGGCCGCGGAGGGACGTCGCTGAGGCTGCGGCTGCCTCTGCCCCCAGAGCGGCCAGTTGCCGGCCTATCCGGTGCCGGCCGAGACCGAGGCCGAGGCCACCCCGCCGTCAGACCTGCAGCAACAGCCGCAGCAGCTGCAGCAGCCGCAGCACCAGCAGCAGCAGCAGCAGCAGCAGCAGCAGCAGCCACCGGCCGACGGTGGACTGGACAGCCACCAGCTGCCGTTGCAGGATCAACAGCAGCACCAGCAGCAGGTACCCGTCCAGGCCGACTTCACAGCGCTGAGGCTTGGTGGCCGCGGGGTCTCCATCATCCCCGCCGCAGTGCACTTGTGGAAATCGTTACGTCGTGCATAGCACCCGGACATGAATGGTTCAGCTCCATCCAAAGTCAGTCGCTGCTGCACTGGGCTGACTCGTAGCTCTCCCAACACTCGGACCGGGGCGTCTGCGTGCCGCGCGTCCATCCGCCTCGCGTCGCGTGTGGCGGCTGCTGCGACGCCCGGCGAGCTGACGCCCTGGCCGGCAGGTGGAGCAGCCGGCGGCGGCGGCGCCGTACGACCCGTCGCAGTACGCGGCGGCGGCGCCGGCGGACCCGTCCTCGGCCGCGCCGCAGCAGTGGCAGCCGATGGTGCCGGCCCCCGCCGACCAGCCGGACGGCGGCGACTACTGGGGCAGTTGGGGCTACGGCCAGGCGCCCGCCGTCGGTGAGAGCGGGCGGCGTCGAGGCGGCTGGCGGCGGCCGGCCCGCACCAGTCATCCGCGTGCCATTGGTTTATGGTGGGGCAAAGGTTGGGCCACCCCTAGTCGCAGATGGGACCACTTCGGGGAGTGTGTGATGACCTCGCTACGGTGAGGTGAGAGACAGCGACGCCAGTGACCAGGCTGGTCGCATGTGTTCTAAAGCAAGTGTTGTGTTGTAAACCTGGACGGGCGGTCATACTGCTGTGGCGGGAAGCCCTGCAGTGGGCGTCGCGGCGAGTGTGTGGCGCATGGCAGGGAGTGGGGTGTAGGGGTCTCCCCTGCCCTATCCGGCCACCCCCCGGACCTCTGCGGGCTGTAGCGCTCTCCCTTTCCTGACCCTACCACCCCTGGGCCCCTGCGGGCTGTAGCGGGCTCCCCCCGTCCGACCTGGCCGCCTCCCGGGCCCCTGCAGGCTGTAGGGGCTCCCTGCCTGGCCCGGCCGCCTCCCGGGCCCAGCGGGCTGTAGCGGGCTCCCCCGCCCAACCCGGCCGCCTCTCGGGCCCAGCGGGCTGACCGGACTCGTGGCCTGCAGAGGACCCAGCAGAGGCTGGCGGCGCAACACACGCGGACGCCTCGCCACCGCCGTTTGCCGGCGACGACAAGAGCCCCAACTACTGGGACCAACAGCGGAAAATGGTGAGGCAGTGCGCAGTGTTGGCGTCTCCGGTCTGCCAGCGGCTGGTTTTGTACGTGCTGTGCGTGGTGTGGCATGGAAGGCATGACCGTTTATTGAAAAGCATGTTGCATCGGGTGCTATGATTTCCTCTGGTTTCTATGTCTTTTATGGGCTGTGTTCCTCCCTGTGTCATGTGTGCATGCCTGGGCAGTTGGCTCCACGCCAATAGCGCTTGCATCAAGCGCTGGACCGCTGATGCATAAGACGGTGTGTCATTGGACACTAACGGGTTCAAGCAGTGATAACCGTGCCGTACCACCTGCGTTATCTGTCCCTCACTGCCTGCCCCCAGCCGGCAGTGCTGTCCTCGGCGCTAACCGCTCCCGCCCCCCCCCCTCCCCCCCCCCCAGCCGGCAGTGCTGCTCTCGCCCTTAACGCCTCTCACCCCCAGCCGGCATCCTTGCCCTCATCCCTGATCCCTCCTGCTCCCCCCGGGCGACACTCCTTTCCTCATCCCTGACCCCTCCCGCCCCCTAGCCGGCACCCCAGTCCTCGTCCTCGTCCAGCCCGCGTCGCCGGTGTGTGACGTTCGCCACGCCGCTGCTGCTGACCGTGGACGGGCGCCGGCCGGTCGGCCATGTCCTCAACCGCTCCGGTCTGGGCGCCGCCGACGACTCGCGCCACTCTCCGCTCGGCGCCGTGAGTGGCGGCGTTCCGCGCGGAGCCGCGGCGACCGCCGGCGCCCGCCGCACCGGGCCCGGGCCGGCTGGCTGTGCCCGGTGCGCGGCCACGTGGCGTCCCGTCCATGTCGCCGGCTGGTGCCATACCGTCCGGGGACGCTTGGAGGGGGCTGGTGTCAGGCCGTCCGGGGGCGCTTGGAAGGGGCTGGTGTCAGGCCGTCCGGGGGCGCTTGGAAGGGGCTGGTGTCAGGCCGTCCGGGGGCGCTTGGAAGGGGCTGGTGTCAGGCCGTCCGGAGGCGCTCGGAAGGGGCTAGACGGGCCATCCCTCCCTAAAATCCTGCCGATGATGTTTGGAGGACAACATGCGGATGCCTTCCGTGTCATGAGCAGCTGCCCTGATTGGGGCCGGCTTAGGACAGTGGAGAATGGGATTGGACTTAGGAGACTGGGGTGGGTGCTATCCCTCATGTAAGAGTTTCTAGAAATTGTCGCAGTCCAGCGAGGGAAGAAGTATGCCGCATTTTTACTACGAATGTGCATTGCTCGAAGCATTTCGGTAGCGGGATAGCCATATAAGCTAGCAGCCCCATAAGCTAAAGGAAGGTTTTCAAAATGGATTAGAAACTTGAAGATCTCGGCGTACTACTTCCGCATATGTCTTAAATCATAACATAGACGCGAATAGGACATAAGGTAAAAGTTCCGGTGAATTCGGCGGACGTCGTTCACGACTGGTGCCAATTTCCTTGGCATTGTGCTGGTACTTGTTGAAATTCTGAAAGCTCTGTGGAAACGGCCGATGTCGAAGCGTGAAGTGACCGGTGAGCTGACAACACTTCAGCGCAGAACGAAACCTCCGTGCCATGTGCTTGGTAATGCGCAACGTGTGTTCCGTTGTGGTGAAGACAGTGGCAGCACTCGCAAAGTTCTACGCAACCGGCATTTCTTTTTAGTGTTTTGCATGTGCATTTATATGTAAGTCTTGTTCTCCGTGTAGTGTTAATGGGCTTGGGGCGTACTATCGTCGTTCCGTTTGGTTACAGTCACGTTTATTTTAGCCAAGCGAATGTGTGCCTGCGTGCTTTTTGTTGTCGAGGTCACTCCGGTCTGCGTGAGCATGTAAAAGTACATTATTGAAAAAAGGTCATCACATTCTTAGTGCCATAATTCACCATGGTTGAGAAAGGACCTTTGCCTACGCTGGAAATGTGTTCATGATGAAAAACGTCTGGTCTGACGTCAAAAGCGCCCATAGGAAATTAACTGTGGTCCAACGCGTTCAGCAAAAGAAACAACTGTCTGCTCGGCATGGTTTTCAACTGGGGCGGTCTCTGACTATTTAAGAGGCCTTACCTGCGTCGGATGGGTCCGATTTGGCTGGGTGAACGGTCGTGACCGCCGGAGGCTCACTGTGTCCCCCTTCCCAGACGGATCACAACCTCGTGAACCTGGCCAAACGCTCCTCCCCGTCCCGCCTCCTGACCGATGAACGGGCGCGGCGGCCGCGCGCGCCGGCCAATGAGCGCGCGGCTGTCGCGCCGCCCGCCGCGAGCGAAACCCAGCTGCGACGCCGCACGGCTGCCGGACGCCGGGCCGCAACCGAGCAGGAAACGCCGCGTCCGCCAGCGCCGCCCGTCCGGCCGGCGCGGCAAGCTCGAGTTTGCGCGTCGGCCGCCGGAGCGCGCCGTGCGCACGTTCCCGGTGGACGAGCCGTGCTGCGCGCCGCCGGACCTGTGCACGGACCACGCGCGCCTCAGGCGCTGGCGGCGCGCGCCCTCTCCAGCGGCGAGGAGAGCGAGGTAGCCCGGCGCCGGCACCGGTCGCAGTCCGCCCGCCGTCCCTGCTCGCTGCGGAGTGCTGTGGTTGTGCCAGTGGTCACCAGAGGCGCTGCTCGGCGTCCGCTGCATGAGGCCGGCCTCCACTCCGCGCGTTCGATGCCTGCCGCTGCTCTGGTTGTGACGTGTCTGTGCGTCGGCCCGGAGGCTGCCCGCGCGAGCCTCCGCGCTGGCCGCGTCTCTGTCCCTTTCTCCCTGTGCTCCAGCTGTACCCCCTCTCTCCCTGCGCCTCAGCTGCCCCTCTCTCTCTTTGCGCTCCAGCTGTCTTACACTTTCTGTGCCCCAGCTGTTCGTTCAGTTATTCTGCTGACCGCCGGCGATGTGCTGATGTAATGCCTGCGCTAGAGTACATTCGGTTTTTCCGTGTGAGCCCGAAGGATTTAGTTTGCAGACATTTTGCTTTCTGGTTTTTGGAGATGCTGGGAGCTGCTTGTTGCTGTTTTCGTCTAGCTCATATTGCCTATGTAGCGACGGTTTTGACGGCGTAAGAACATCCTTTTTGTGATGAGTCTGTGTCGTGACGAGCACATCGCGGAATGCACCCACGTATGGTTGCATGAATCGTACTTAGACTCTGTGTGCAGTAGTGTCGGCGTATCCTGCCCAAGTCCACTCACTGATGTTTAGGAAAATCGCTGAAGTGCATAAGTGCCGAAGTCCAAGAGCATGCTTGCACACCTTGGCGCATCTTGTACAAAACTTCCCGCGATCGCTTCAATGGATCCAAGTGTTTGCGTTTCGTTTTTATAAGCGTGTTCTTTTGTGAAGATCGCATATCTGACCTTACATTACAGTCTTCTCGTTTCTGTGGACATGTCTGTCGTGGAGAATCAGCCCATCCCCAGTAGGGACAGGTTCAAACCATCCTCTGCTGCGCTCAGTGGGCGTCCACGGTGACAGGTGGACCGGCACGGGCCCGCTGCGGGCACAGACTCACTTCCCCTTGCGCTCACCGGTGCACCCTGACACAGCCTTCCCCTGACGTCTGCAGAGCGAGGCGTCGTCGGCGCCGTCCGACGGCGAGCAGGAGCAGGCCAAGCCGGCGCCGCCGTCCTCGGCAGCCAGCCAGCCGGCGGCGGGCGGCGCGCTCGCCAGCGACCAGGCCTCGGGCGGCTGGTTCGGCGGCCTCTTCTCGCGACTGGGCAAGCCCAAGAACCAGATGATCCTGCCTGACGACAAAAACAAATCGGTAAGGCTGCGCTAGGACTGCTGAAGTCCCCTGCCGGCCGGGTGTGGCTTGTCTGGACCCGCTGTGCATGGTTGTGCTTCTCGTCGCGCAAACGACACGTGTCCCAGCGATAGGACATGTAGCTGTCTGCGACGTTTGAGTCGGAGTGGCGCCGCCGCGTCACCAGGCGCTCGGCTGGCGCGGCTGCCTCGGCTGCGGCCTGGCTGCGGCGCCGCTCCCCCGGCCGGGGTCAGCAGACCAGTCGCCGAGCAGCCGGCGGCGGGCCTGAGCCAGGTGCCGGCCCCCGCGCGGACTCGGCGCCCCGTCTCGGTGGCGCCGGGCCGCTCAGACGGCACGGCTGGCTGACGTCCGGCCGGCGGGTGAGGCGGCGCCGCTCGGCTCCCGACAGGCGGCGGAGGTCCGATGGGAACCCCCGCCGGGCAATGGACGACCTGACGGCGGTGGCGTGGGATGCGTCCGCTCGCTACGCGTGATCTAACGACCACTTTCGGATTAGCTGGGGACGGATTGCGCTGTAATGGCCATTCGTGTCGCCATATATTGCGCCTGTTGCCATGGAGAAAAAGCTAGAAACGAAGCGAGACTGAAAGGAAGCCGGAGCAGAGCTTGGCGGAGGGGCGAGCTGTCGGCCGCGGCGCTGGGGGGCGCCCCGCTGTTGCCCAGGAGCGGCGCTTTCGTCATCCTGCCAATGGATCCGTCGTCAGGCGGGGGGGGGGGGGGGGGGGGAGGGGCACCGACCTCCGGTCCCGGGAGGCCAGGGCCTGTCGCCAGGGGGCGGCGCGTCCGACCTCCTGTCCGCTGAGACCAGGGCCTGAAGCCAACCGGCCGGCGCCCATCCACTTGTCCGCCGACGCGCTGAGACGCCACCCCCACGCCGCCCGCACGTCGCCCGCGTGCGGGGGCGGCGCGCTCGGCCGGCGCGTGCTCTTGCTCAACAGTCGACGGGCGCGCCTGTCCCAGGCGTGTCTGTCCGCAGGCGTCGAGCGGGGCGACGCGTGGAAGTGGCGGCTGGGATTGGACCGGCAGCGTCCGCTCCCGGCTCACCGGCGCGGCAAAGGTCACCCCGCTACAGGGAAAAGTTCGCGAGTAAGATAATTCCGCACTCGGATCAGGATGCGAGCGTGGCGTGCTGGCGCGCCCCCTGCCGGCAGGAGTTGTTGGTGCATCCCGGCGTGAGGCGGATGTGGGCAGGTGCGCTTCGCGGTACTTGACCGCGGCTGTCGTGTCCGCCGTCTGCGGCGGGGCGCGCTCGCGCTCGTGCCAGGATTGGGTCGAAGTCATCCAAATGTGGTCGAAGGTGGCGGTATTTTTACATTTCGTGGATGCTAGATTCTGTGGGTTATTTCTAGGGAAGTTAACGTGGGAGTGAGGCACGTTCTGCGGGGCTATTTTGGGCGTGGTAAACGAGACGAATTATTGACCAGCCGAACTGTGGTAGAGCGAATGAAAAAAGAGAGCAGTTCCTTGCGGCGAGATCGGCGTTTGCCTGTGCGGGGGACACAATGTCGCCACTCAAATACGGGCACGGCGCCTACCGCAGTTTTCCATGTAACTGGCAGCTGTCCTTGCCTTTCGAACCATGGGTTTGATTGGAGATCTTATTGATTGGATTGGAACCATGCGTTTGATTGGGGATGGGATACTTGCGCTTGATTTCGCCCTTTTTGGAATCGGTTCCGGATTCCTTTTGCAAGGTATGGGTGTAGATTCTTTCTCGTGGTTCCGGTAGCGCGATCTGGTATTGTATCTACGTACGCTCGGACTTGAGCTGTGGCGCTGCTATGGATGATGCCTGTGACAATGTTTACGGCGTAAGTCTCCCATTGGGTCGCATGGAAGGTCGCGCAGGTCATATTTTGAGACATCGAGACATGTTTTGTTTTAGACAGCGACACATTTGTATTGAGGACGAACCTGCCTTGTATCAGGTGAATATATTCGAATCATGGATTAAGTACTCGGAGATCAACACAACCCTACCAGGCGCCAGTCGCAGCGGCGATTCCAACACTTGCACAGTCCACCCGCAACCCAAAATTTATGTCGCGTGCTTCCTGATCTATGCAGGAATCTAAGTATTTATCAACTTGGACCCGAGCCATAGAAACGGCACACTGATGCTCAGGAGCGGTTATTAGACATCAGCTGTCACGTGCGGCCTGACGCAGCACGCCGCTGTCGAGCACTCACTGGTGTCAGGTTCGCGCTGATATGCGCTGTCACGTGCTCAGTACTCGCGTCGCCCGTCCGGATGAGCGCGGCCGGCGGGTGAGAGCGTCGCTCACCTCGTATGTCGGCGTCCGCTCGAAGTAATGGGCGTCACGACTGGGGCGCGCCAGCCATCTCCGTTATGAACTGGTCCGAAATGAGGCGGCGTCGCCAGAGGCGGCGGCGATGGCGGCTGGCGGTGACCCGGCGTGCGGAGAGGCCACGGCGTGGGCGCTGCGGCCGGCTCCGTCCCCGTCCCCGCACTGAACGGCGGCTAGTGTGGACGTATCCCGGCCGGCGGCGGCCCCTGCGGCACGCCAGACCAAGGCCACGTGGCTGTCCACAATGTTGGCGCACTGCTATGTTTGTACAAAAGAGCACCTGAAATCGCCATCGGCTGGGCGTCTTGATCCATTCCTCGTCAAAAGTAATCGAAGCGTTGCGTCAGCTGAGGACTTTTGATGGTACGCCACGGTATGGTCTTGTTAGCAGTAAAATAGTCGCGCGTCGCAGTGCCGTATGTGATGTGCCCTGCTCATCGCCGTGGGACGGGTGGTGTCCGCACTATCCCGGGCTGACCGCTCGTCCTAGGCCCGCTCCCTTCAGACCGCCCTCACCGCCCGGCTCCCTCGTGCCCGGCAGATCGTCTACGACGCCGCGCAGAAGCGCTGGGTGGACAAGGACGCCGGCCCTGACGACGGCGCCGGCCAGGCGGCGGCGGCGCCACCCTCCGACTCCCAGCTGGCCGGCGGCGGCGGCGGCGGCGGCGGCGGCGGCCCGGGCGCGCCGCCGCCGCCACCGCCCGCCGGCGGGACCGGCGCCAACAGGTTCAAGATCCCCAAGGGACGCGGTGAGTGGTGTCGCGCTGAGGAATGATGGCGGGGGAAAGGGGTTGAAGGCACACGTCATCGTCGTACCCCAGGGAGCAACTCACGTCACCGCCCGGGGCCAGGGCAGTTCATCACCGGACTCCTTGGAAGGGCGGCATTAAATTAGGCGATCCCCGAGGGCGCAGTCCATGTCTCGGCCCATCAGGCAAACGTCCATTAACCGATCGCCGGGCATTGGGTGACAATGCCAGTGTCCAGAAGGTTGCGGCTGTGTGGCGGCTCGCCTGTCGTTCGCTGAAGACAACAGGACGTGACTGAGAATAACAGGGCATGGATGGGGAGAGCAGGACATGGCTGGGGACAACAGGGCATGGCTGAGGACAACAGGACATGGCTAGGGACAACGGGCATGTCTGGGGACAAGAGGACATTGCTGGGGACAGCAGGACATGGCTGGGGACAACAGGGCATGGCTGAGGACAACAGGACACAACTGAGGACGACAGGACATGGCTGGGGACATCAGGACTGGGTTGAGGACAACAGGAGTTGGCTGAGGACAACTGTCAGCTGTCAGCTCATGTGTGAGAGGCTGGAAGATGGGCACGTGAGCTGACGTGTCATATTTGAAGAAGGAGGAGCCTTACTTAGTATATGAGGATGGAAATAGGCGACGTTCGCCGACACGCAAGGCGGGGAAGGAGAGAGCGCTGGCATGCGGGAGCGGGAGAGAAGGGATGTTTCGCGGCGTGTGGTGCGACGGCACGGTGTGGCAGCTCCAGCAGCGGCCGCAGCGACGCTTCTCAAGATCGGCTGCGCGCGCGAGAAGGGCTGAGGGTGGCGCGGGCTGGCGCGCAGGAGGGGGCGGGAGGACGGCAGCCGGCGTGTGCGGGCGGAAGGACGCCGAGCGTGGCTGGCGCAGCCGCGCGCCCGCCTGAGCTCCGGCGCATGTTGTGTCCTGACAGCGTCCATGTCGGCGGCAGGCATGCGCTCCAACTACGTGGACGTGTTCGGCGGCTCCGGCTCCGGCTCCGGCTCCGGCTCCGGACCCGGACCCGGCGCCGGGCCGCAGAGCCTGCCGCCGATGCCTGTCGGCCCGACACCTCCGGCCTCCAGTCCAGGTGAGAGACGGACGGTCCGTCCGGTCCAGGCAGGGCCGCGGAGTCGCCCGAGCCGGTGGCCTAGCCCCGATCCGGCTCGAGCTAGGTGTAGGTTGGGATAGCGTTGTCGTGCTAGGGTATGGTGAGTTAATGACGTCACGTTGCGTCTGTGCTGTTTGCCGTGTTTGTATTGTTTGCCACCGTGAGCAAAGGAAGGGCCCGTTTCCGACTGCGATGCCGGCGTGGGTTTCCTCCCCGCCGTGATTACCGTAATCTGTCACGCAGCGTAGGCCGGCTCGGCCGGCGAGGTTCTGCCATAAATCTTCATACAACTGAAGGCTCCGAAAAGAAACACAGTAAGCCGATAATTGCGTGCAATAACACGGTCGTCTGTCTGGTGCCGGTGTTCTGGGCCGCCCGTGGGCGCTGCGTTGCTCACTGCCGGCCGCCGGCGGTGGTTTTCCGTTGTTTGCCGCCGCCCGCCGCGCGCCGTAATAACTGTGCGGTGCCCTGACCCGGGCACTGGTGTCGCGTTGCTGTGGGAAGTGCAGGATGCCCCCTGACTGGGCGGCGTTTTTTGCCACCGCCGCGGGCGGACGCGCGCAGTCGGCGGGACTCTGCGTGGCGCCAAAAAACGCCTTGCTGGGACTAATACCGGGTTCCAGGCGTGGGGCGCGGGGGTTTGCCCCTCAGGTGGTGGGCGTGGCGCTGCGCCGACAGCCACCGCGCGCCTTGCTGGGACTAATACCGGGTTCCAGGCGTGGAGCGCGGCGGTTTCCCCCTCAGGTGGTATGCATGGCGCTGCGCCGACATGTAGCGTTGGTTGCGGGCATACCATTCCGATGAATTATGTAATGATATTATCATAGAGTTTTCTGGATGACGGAGTTCTGTCTGCGATTGAGTCTCATGGTCTAGACCAGACCCAGTGTGGCCACCCGCAAGCCTTAAGTTACCCAGGATAAGCTGGCGGTTGTCGTCTGTTGCATTTGGTTTGAAACTCGCTGTAACATTTACATTTGGTTTGAAACTCGCTGTAACCTTTGGAAAGCCTCTGCCCCACGGCGGGTGGAGAGAGTGTGATAATTGTCGGTTCTTTGTGAGATGGATTGTGTGTGCTTTAAGAGCGTTGGGGTCACACTTCGCGCTTTACGCAGCTCGGTGCGTTGAGAGTGGCCCCACTACCCAAACGATCATACTACGGGACAATCTTATCTCAGGCCAGCAGCCGAGCAGTGCCGGGAATTTGAAAGTGTCAAATGCAATGGCATGGCACAGGCCGCCCGGTGATGGTGTTTTCCCTCGCGGAAGTGCGCCTCGTCGGCCGGGCTCCAATCCCGCGTCTGTTGTGCCCCGGCCGACGGCGTCTGCCGCTCGCGGGGAGGGCAGGCCGCCGCTCCGGCCGCCACGCCGCCGGTACCGGCTGGTCCGGGAGGCACGCGTCAGTTCGGCCGGCGGGCGGGGCTCAGCGCCGCCGGGGCAGGGCCCGGCGCGCCGGTGTCGGGCCGCAGAGGGTCTGACGGCGGCGTGTGTGCCTGTTGCAGGTCCTGCCGCCGCTGCCGACCCCGCGCCTGACGCGCAGGTGGGTGAGGGGTCACGGGGGAGTCTGGGGCAGGATGGGACGGGAGAGGTAATAGACTGGAACTTTATTATCGGAGTGCCGCGACGCGACGGGCGGACATGTAATGATAATACCAACAGCAGGTGGCACTTGTGATACGAGCCCACACAGCCTTTACGTGTGGTCGGCGATCGCGGCACCTGGCGCTTTGGCTAGAAGCCACGTCTGAGATTATGGACGGCTTAAAAGCGGCCTTTGTCGGGGAATGCATTTAGCATCTTCACGCAAGGTGTTACACTTTTGGCCTAACGACGCTGTGTACGCCACACTCCGACTTAGTGATGGCAACGGCTGGCTGGTGGGACAGACTGGAGCAGATGCCAACCCCACCCATTGCCTGTCAATTAGACAAAATAAGTATACCGGTTGTCGAAACGCATGAAACGTTCTGGGCTTCGTTGGGCAATAGTGGGCGCTGTCTTCTCTGTCGCTGCTCGTAAGCACGATCACCGCGACTGTCTTGTCACGCCACGTGCACGCGTTCGGCGCTGTGGGTGCAGCCTCCGCGCACCCGGGGGGGGGGGGGGGGTCGGTCAGGTACGAGCTGGCCGGCGCCTCTGTTTCAATCAGCCGTCGGGCCGGTCGGGCCTGATTGGTCGCTGTATTGACCCGGTGACCCCGTCAGACCCGGGCTCGATAGCCATGTCTTTGGCCGGTGCCGAGCGCGACGGCCGCTCTCGACCTTCGGCCGCCCCAGGGCGCGGACGGGCCCCGCTCCTCCGCTCAGCGGCTGCCGGCCTCACCGGGCCGTCCGACCGGTGACCGCGGCGACGTGTCGTCCCGAAATGTAGCATACATCCTGCGTCGCATGTAATGAGTGTCCCGCGCCGCTTTGAAATGCAGATTGTGCCGCACTTCAGTCTAATGTGCTAGTTGGCCTTTGAGAAGCTGGCAACAGTCTATGTTGGCGTGCGTGCGGCGGGCGTCAAGCCGCTGCTAATGAAACTTGGCCGGTGGACGTGACATGTTGTAAAGGGCGGCCGCCGACGGTGAGCGGCGCGGGAGAGCGAGAGCGAGGTCCGGTCCGGGACCTGCCGGGTGTAGTGACACGGCCGGACAGTGCTGGGCGCTGCTGGGGACCACTCACCGCCGGACAGTGATGGGCGCTGCTGGGGACCTCTCGCCGCTGGACAGTGATGGGCGCTGCTGGGGACCACTCACCGCCGGACAGTGATGGGCGCTGCTGGGGACCACTCTCACCGCCGGACAGTGATGGGCGCTGCTGAGGACCACTCACCGCCGGACAGTGATGGGCGCTGCTGAGGACCTCTCACCGCTGGACAGTACTGGGCGCTGCTGGGGACCACTTTCACCGCCGGACAGCGCTGGGCGCCACCACGGATCACTCACCGCCGGACAGTGATGGGCGCTGCTGGGGACCACTCTCACCGCCGGACAGTGATGGGCACTGCTGAGGACTACTCACCGCCGGACAGTGCTGGGCGCTGCTGGGGACCACTCTCACCGCCGGACAGTGCTGGGAACTACTACGGACCACTCACCGCCGGGTGGTACTGGGCGCCGCTGGGGACCACTCTCACCGTCAGACAGTGCTGGGCGCACTGGGGACCACTCACCGTCAGACAGTGCTGGGCGCCGCTGGGGACCACTGTCTCACCGCTGACCGCCGCGCGTCGGCCTCAACACGAGGCAGCTCGCTGTCACATGGGACTGCTCTGCACATCATGAGTCGGCGTGAGATAAAGACACGGGGCGACACGACCGGACGTTGTCGCTGGAGTCTTTGTCTATGTGAAACGTCAGCGCACGCAGTGTGTTCTGTGCGACTGCCATCCTCACGCAGACATACGCACCCGCCCTAAGCACACAGTAATGCCAATGCGACAGGTCTGGTGACAGAGGTCATGCCTCCGATCCAGCGTATGCGCGCGAGCGCGCCCCGCTGGTCCATGTGGCGCGGTCCGGCCGTGGCCGGCTGCCCGTGCCGCCGCCGCCGCGGTGGCCTGGCGCCGGTGTGCGCTGCCGATCTGTGACCGATGTGTCGGCTCGCCTGCCGCAGACGATGCCGGGTGACCCCGCCGCCGTGGACGGCGCTCCGCCCATGTTCAACCCGGGACAGGTGAGTCGCCGCACTGATCACGGTCATGCCTGAACGGCCGGCTGGGATTGTACTAATCACGGTCATGGCTGGACAGCCGGCCGGGATTGTACTGATCACGGTCATGGCTGGACGGCCAGCCGGGATTGCACTGATCACGGTCATAGCTGGGCGACCAGCCAGGATTGTACTGATCACGGTCATGGCTGGACGGCCGGCCGGGATTGTACTGATCACGGTCATGGCTGGACGGCCAGCCGGGATTGTGCTGATCGCGGTCATGGCTGGACGGCCGGCTGGGATTGCACTGATCACGATCATAGCTGGACGGTCGGCCGGGATTGCGCTGAGATGTTTGTGCGTAAAACAATGCTTGTACTGGAGTCATTGTATCAATTTCGTCGCGGTTATATTAATATGATAACGACATTACTGTCATGATCTCGATTCCACGTTTGCAGTTATGGGTGTACTTACATGAGCACAGAATTATGAGCCGTTTGATAAGATTACGATAACGGATCACAAGTCGGACGCGGCTCGCAAAAGTTAACAAGATGTGCTTTGTTGAGATTTTGAGTAATAAATCCTGAATGTGAATGAGCGGCCCGACTGAACTGACCCGACCTGACCTGAACTGGACTGACCCGATCTGACCTGACATCCTGCCAAATTCTGTCGTGAGCAGTAAAGTATTGCCCTAACTGGGAGATAGCTTCATGTTGTTAAATGTGTGTCGTGACAGTTGCCTTGTCGCATCTCAAATTGATAGTGCACGCGGACCTTCCAAGTGCGTCATTGCATGACGAGAATCACTAAAATGGCGAATTGCGTGCGCCATGCGCTTGCAGATGGGGAGAGTATGGCAGCACGTGACGTCATGTATCACATGTTTCGTTGTAAATGGCAAATACGGTCTGAGGCAGCAGCACCCAGTAAACGCAGCCAAACATAGTCGAATCACCACGCCACACAATCGCACGCTTAGTGTTTAAAGCCCGGAATAGATTCATTTACCGATATTGGCAAATTCCCGTCTGTGATGTGAATGATACGCGCGGCTTATTAGCCGACAGCGCCGGGTAAATTAGTCATATGAGTGATTTGCTTTAGAGGATGATGCCAAAAGCAGTATGAATTTTGTAATATCCTGTGTGCCTCGCTCGCTGTTTGTCCCGGAGTCATTGTTGTACTGATATCTGATTCATCGAATCTTGTCTGTCACAATCCAGTGATCAATCCGCAGACTCCACGCATACCCTTCTTGGGCCAACAGGTCGCGGGCAGTTTCTAGCCGTTAGCCAGCAAGGCAGCCTATCACGTATCCAGACCTTCCCTCGCCCTGTGTTATAACTTGCTGGTGGTTTGCCCCAACACGTGTCGCGCCAGTGACAACACGCATGCCGCTCTTTCTGACCATTTTCGCAACGTGCTCCAGATGGGCGGCCCGCCGCCGGCGCCGACGACGTCCTCGCGCGGGCGCCTGGGACGCTACGGGCGCCGATGAGGCGCGGCGCCCCGCCGGGCGCGGCGCCCCGTCGCCGACCGCGGTGCGGCGCCGCAGGACGGAGAGGCGGCGGGGGGCCGCGCGCCGCTCCCAAGAGGACCGCTCAGCCCGTCGGTCGGCCGTGATACGTATACCTATCTGTCGCCCGCGTTGAGCGTCAGGCGGCCGCCGCCCCGAGCCGGCGCGGCGCGCGCGCGGCGGCCGCCGTTGTTCCGTTTGAGTGCGTTGCGCGCGCGCGCGCGTGTGCTTGGCGATGGTTGTGAGGGAGTGCAGTTATCGGTTATTTATGTTACGGAGTGAGCGGCGCGCGAGGCCGGCCGGGACCGTGCCACAAGACGGGACGGACGTCTGTCGCGCGCGCGCGCGCGGGCGACGCTGGTGCTGCCCTGCGCTGACGTCGGAGGCGGCGCGCCGGACTTGCGTAGCGCTCCAGCCCGTGCAGTTTCGGTTGGCCGACTGAATTATGCGGGCCGCCATGTTGGTTCGTCAGCTGACGGTCGGGCTTGGCTCCCATCAGCTGAGCCGCTCCCCTCGCCCGGCTGGTGTAGTTAGTCGCCTGGGTTGTGGTTTCTCGGTTAATGCGGTGGTGTACGACGTATATCCTGATGCATACGGCTATAATAAAGGGGGAAAATTACCGCTTGGTTTACGTAATCTCTGTGTGGCGTTCTCGAGTTTTGCGGCGTGGGCGTGATACCGCTTCCTGAAGTGTCCTCTTCAAAGAACTGGCGACAAGCGAAAGCCCACGGAAAAACCATGTAAGTCTGTGCCTAACTCCAGACCGCAATCCCATCCAGTTTTCACCGATGTGGCGCGTGCGGACACAGTCTCTGGGCATCGCCAACGTCTGGAGGTCATCTGGAGGTCATCCAGCACCAATCCACCTGGGGCGATTGATTACCGCGGACAGTAAAAGAATGGCATGAACACATCGGTTGAACGGGAGGTCTCTGAAAATATGGCAATAAGGGAGGCACTCCCAACGCGTTGGCCAGGCCGAGGTCAAGCGGGTCAGCTGGTCAGCCGGCGCTGGCATCGCGGACAATCGGCTGTATGGATGGAGGTGGCTTACATACGTCTGACGACGGTCAGGAAAAGGACTGTACGGGAAGGGCACACAAACGCGCAGGACTCGATTCCGGTGCGCCGTCCTGCTGTTTGGGGCGACTCCAGCGTGCTCAACGGAAGCTGCACCGATCGGTCCCGCAGGCGGTCGTAACCCATGCCGTCTTCCCCTGTAATAGAAAGAGTTTTCTAAAAGGGCGGTTGGACCGTCAGCGGCGTCTGCGGAAACTCTCAGTGGCTCGCCCGCCGCCCTCGATCTGCTGCCGGCTCTGAACCATTCGAGCCATACTGTGAAAGGAAAATAACGAACGCGCTCCAGTCCGCGAGGCTTGGAAAATACTGCCAGCATCCATTAGCCCCGCGTGCTCCGCGTTCCTAACATTCGCTCCGAAAGGACTGTCAGCGTCTTACTGTGCACGCATTGTTGCATGCCTCCGAAAATGTTGGGGCACTGAGCACTAGTCTGGAACTGCTCTCTCGTCTCATACATTATATCATAGCACCAATCGCGGGCCGCTATCGTGGCTCGGAACATTCATGACTACCGCATTCGAATCATGGCATTTGGGCTCCACATGCGACCGCGGGCCGTGACAGCCAGCTGTCGTCACGATGGTCCGCGCAGGTATCGCCCAACTAGGCGTTGACCGGCCCGCGGTCAGCTGCCCAAGGTCGCGGCCAGCGTCGACCTCTGCAGCGCAGCAATGTCGGCGATTCGAGGCGTCAGCACCGAGCCAGCCGGCTAGCACCGTTGTCAGGTGCACGATCAATGACTGCGGCGGGCGCTTCGGAAAACAATACCGAAGTGCGCCCGCCGTAAATCGTCTCGACGACCGGCGCCGGACCGGGTCAGACCTGCGGAGGTGACCGGACCGGACCGGACTAGCGCTGGATCAGACCGGACCTGTGGAGATGATCGGACCGGACTGGAACAGACCGGGCCAGGCTAGACCAGACCGGACCAGACCAGACCAGGCCTGAGGAGGTGACCGGACCAGACCAGACCAGACCTGAGGAGGTGACCTGACCGGACCAGACCGGACCGTGCTCCTCGGCAGCGGCCTGCCTCGCCTGCCAGTCCATGCCCCGGTGGAGAATGTCGAGAGTTGGCGTCTCGGAGCCGCACGTCGCAGAGATAGCGAGAGTTCGATATTGGTATGCAGGCCGATAGACCTGAGTTAACTGATTCCGCCGAAAACTTGTGTAACAAAGTTTCGCCTACTTTTAGGCTTTAAGCTGCTTCAGGGTGCATTTTGATCGTAGTCTGTTCGATCGCACACGGCGGCGACCGAGGGAGGGCGATGGACCGGTCTCAGCCGGCGGCGCTGGAACGTGGCTGTTCATTCAGCTGTTCCAGTGACGTCAGCAGACAAGCGGTGGGCGTGGATTTTGATTGGACAGATTCGATTGAGCGGACGATTGGGACATTACCGGAGAACAGATATAGCCTCGGTTTTGGACTGTCATTAGAGCAGGCAGCATGGATGACCACGGGACCCCGCGTGGATGTCATTGGTTGGCTGACCGGTTTGGCTCACGTATATGTCAGTACATTTCCTGGATCTCGCACATGTCAACGCCGTCGCTTCCTACTTTTGCCTCCGCCGGTCAGCAAAGTGACCTAGTTTGCCCCTGCCAATTCTTCTTAGACCTCATAACGCCGCGCGGTGGGTACCCATGCGTCCTCATGGCCATTTGAGGGCCTCCAGTCCTCTTGTCGCGTTAGTTCCATAATCCATCGACGTCAAATTACATGAGGTCATGACTCGTGACCTACCGTGATCCATGAAAGGTGATCTACGTTGGCTAATTTTCCTGCAACATGCTGCTTGTCGATGAACGCAACATGAAGCACCGATTCCGAAAGCACTCATATTATCTGATGCTCCATGAATTAGTTAGATGTGATCGAAAACATATAACACATAAAGGCACATAAACATGACCTATTCAGTTCGTTTTCAGGGCCTACTAATACCAACCAGCGGCCGGAAAAGTAAACTGCTGAAACGTGTAACCAATAACGTCATTGGCTAAGACAATGGTGCGCCCAAAAAACCGTCTCATCGGTACGAGCGCCTTATCCCAAGCACCCAGTTTGTTCAAACATAGGCTGCAAGATGATTGGCGGTATAAAATTGGGACATGCACTCATGGCTAAGCGAAGACTGCGGATCGCTGAGAAGACATGAACTAAGTTATAGTTGGACTTCAGGCGCTGGCCATTAATCCAAAAACTGATCCCACATAACAACGTGAGATTTGCGAGGCACGCATGCATGATTTGCGAGCCACACATGCTTGCGAGCGAGCCACTTTGGTGCCTGAGCGCAATGTCATGAATCGTCACACTTTCATCGTACGAGCGAATCGTACAAGCCGTTTAGTAGGACGAGCTTAGTTGAACACATAGTCTTATTTGTGGACGACCTCACTGGTGTTACGACGCCGAACTGTAAACGTCACAAGCATATCCCAATAGAGCGTTAAAGGTAACGTTGACATCCAATAGTATGCCTCCATGACATCCGAATAGATCGACGGTCTTAGAAAGGCCTGGCCTGGCCTGGGCGTGGGGGGGGGGGGGCAGAGTACCACGATCACGGCCATATGACGGCATCCTGCTGCCCAGAGACCAGCCTGCCGTTCCTCCCGCGTGTAGATGACGACACAGTGCAACGGGAACGGTGGTGAGGGCACGTTGGGCTACAGAACAACGAAAAACTATGCTCTGTTTATCGTAAGAAAGAACGGAATAAAGTGCTGCCAACGATTTTGCACGGTTTTTGGCGCGTGGGTCATTATTCGAGTGTGCTGTAGCCCAAAAATTATCGGCATCATGACTGGCATCACTTTGGTGTTGCGGTAATATTTTACGCAGTGAAAATTTTGTATATTGTTTTACTTATATATTTCATTGCCTTTTTATATCTTTTATATGTTTTAGTACCTACTCACCAATGAATGAAAATATAATCTAGCGTCTGGAAGGATTCTTGGGGCACAAAATAAGGAAATTGTTTATAATGTGTATCAACATTTTGTCGAAGACCGGGACATGAAGTTGAAGGCGGGAGACGACGACGCCGTCCGGGAGAGTCCATTATTAAGAACAGCAGCTGTAACGGGCGTTGGGAAGACTACAGTCTACCGCATACAACGTGAAGCCTAGAATGGTGCCAGACTGAAGTCGCCAAGTCGATCCCGACCAGCTGCAGCAAGACCAAGGGTGGATCTAGATCCGTTCGATGTTTGCACGATGAGGAAAATGACACACCAAATGTACATCGACGGAAAACCTGTTACTCTCGGACGCCATCACGGATGCTCTTCACGAACAGCTCGGCGTCACCATGTCTAGATCCACCGCAAGAAAACACCTACTCGAGAACGGATTTAAGTACCGAAGGATCGACAAGCGCAAGATCCTGCTCGAGAAACCTCATATTGCAGCAACGAGATGCCAGTTCTTGCGGGGGATGAGGAGGCTGCGTAGAGAAGTTCCCGATAGCAAAATCATTTATACCGACGAGACATGGTATAATCAGTACGATATGGAGGACTTGGCGTGGCTGGACGGTAGTCAAATCAACGGACGGAAGAACGCCATTGGAAAAGGAAAACGTTTTATCATAGTCCATGCCGGCTCTTCGGAAGGATTTATACCGGGCGCACTTCTCCACCTCAAGACCGATGGCAAGAACGCTGACTGCTACGAGAAGTGGTTCACCGGGTGTCTGCCTCCGAACGTGCCAGAGCACTCTGTGATCATCATAGATAATACCTCATATCATTCATTATATCATTATCATATCATTATCATTCATCAGATATCATGTCATTCCCGTTTGTGCCAAAAAGTGCCAACTTCTAGCTGGCGTGAAGCGGAAATCCAGGAGTGGTTGCAGCAGGCAGGTGTGACCATCGATGAAGACATGCGGAAGGTGGTGCT